CAAGAAGTTCAACTCTACTTTAAGACTTGTGGACTTCAACTCAAGAAGTTCAACTCTACTTTAAGACTTGTGGACTTCAACTCAAGAAGTTCAACTCTACTTTAAGACTTGTGGACCTCAACTCCCAAATTCCCCAGCCAGCCAAGTGGTCAAGGTTGGACAACTCAGGTCTACAGGGAAGGTGGGGCCAGGAGAACCCCCTTCCTTGCATCCCAAACACAGAACCAACAGAAAGGATGCTTCGAAGCGCTTCGTGTGTCTAGCCTAAAGAAGAGAAGGCTGAAGGTGTCACATAGCAGTCTTCCAGTTCTTGAAGGACCATCCCAGGGAAGAAGATATGGATTTATTCTCCATAATGCCCAAGGGTGGGACCAAGAACCAACGGACGGAAGTTTTTAAAAAACTCAAAATAAAAAGGAATCTCCTAGAGCTACTGAAGTTGTGGTGGTCCATCAAGAACTGGACAGGGATGGTCTGAAGGTTCCTTCACTGCACAGGGGTTGGACTAGAAGACCTCTGAGGCCTTCCAGCCCTGGGAGTCTAACCTTCTGAATCCAGAAGTAGAAGCCAGTAAAAACAAATAATCAAGGATTGTCCTGTCCATCCCGCCCAGGAGAAAGAGACTCTCCAGTTGCCCATCCCGTGTCACCACTAACCGGTAGAGATGGTTGATCAGCGCCTTCAGGGTGGCTTTGTTGACAAGCGGGAGACTGTTGAGAAGCCTACGATAACGGCTGATCCTTTCCGCAAGGTCCTCCAGAGCTGTCAAGAGGAGCACAAGGCGGTGAACAAGGCGGGGGGTCACGAAAATCATCCTCATCTTCTTTTAATGACTCCATCATCCCTTGCAGGGTGGAGTCTTGGGCAACCGAATGGAGCTATCGGAGTGTTTACTGGCCAGATGCCTTTCCTGTCACCAGAGCGGAGTTTTCTTCAGCAGATAAGAGTGTAGCCAGAGAGAGAAGTATTTGCCTCTACCTAGGATCGAACTCACCGTCTCCTGATTGTGAGGCGAGAGCTCCGCCTCTAGGCCACCGCACCACTCAAGGGGGGGACAGTGACATTGTAACTTCGGACGTTAGCCAAACGAAGGGCTGCCAGCCTACCCACCCGCACCCCTTTTACCGGGCACTTTCAGCCAGGCGTGGGCGGAGTCCTTGGTGAAGAGCCCCTCCTGCAGGTCCCGGAAGAACCTCTTGAGGGTGTTGGCCACGTCGTCCACCTGGTGGTCCTCCTCCTTCAGCCGGACCTTCCGGGCGTCTCTGCGGAGGGTCTCCAGCAGGCTGGTGGTCTTGGAGTTCTGCCCGCTCTTCCGGTAGATGCCCTCCGAGGTCAGTCCTGGTGGGAGGAAGAGGAGGAGGAGGAGGAGATGAAGGACCCACAAAGGGATTTCCACCAACACATCGCAAAATCGGGGTCTGCTCACGTGATGAGCCACTTTGTGACGGACACAACTCACAACTAACTGAACTGCTTCGAATTCTCCCTGATTTGAAATGATTCCTTAGATTTCTGATTGTTTTGATACTTCCACTCTTTATTGCAAGGTAAGTTGGACAGGGTTTCTTTGGATAGGAAAGAAAGAAAGAAAGAAAGAAAGAAAGAAAGAAAGAAAGAAAGAAAGAAAGAAAGAAAGAAAGAAAGAAAGA